GAAAAAGAAAAACGAACTAGACAAGCAAATAAATAAATATATGTAAATATGCATACGTGGTTTTGTCTCTGTGCACGTTATGCCACCAACTTCTGTCATTTTAACCCTTTTAGGTTATAAGCCAATCAAGTGCTCGATTCACTCCCAGTGTAGCAATGATCAAGGTAAGGCACATTCTGAACCAGTACTTTACACCGTTTGGAGCATACAGGCTTCTTTCTGACATCTGCACTTTTCGATGAGGGAATCATTGCTTACAATATTTGCCTGATTATAATAAGCGATTCAGTTTTTGATAAAGCTACAGAAATATAAGTTCTAAATATTGAAAGGCCATGGCACAATTATAACTGTCCCATTATAGAGGATGTTTTCCCAATTCTTCGAAGAACTGGTTATACCACAACACACTGCAAATTTAACAATATTCGTATCCAAAGTATCTACTTTAGATTTTGATTTGAAATTTCCGAAGACGCGAGCAAACTGCCCGACCAATGTGAAACGATTAGATTGGTATCAAGAGACAAGACATCCCAAAATGGCATAGTCTCGATTTCCGCCGCTGTCGAGTCCGATCCGGTCTTCGTTCTCCCCTGAGAAGCCTTCAGGGGAAGAGCGCGGGCCCCTCTCCCGAACAGCGGCTGGTAATCGAGCCTGAAAGCGTCGCCAATCCGGAAAAAATTTTATCTCCTTTGTAAACGTACTCTTCCTTTTCTCACGTCTTTTCTTCTTTTTCTCACTTCCTCTCTCTTTTAGAAATGCATCGAGGCGCTGATAGACAAACAATATTTAGAAAGACGCGAGGGGAGTAAGGACGAGTACACCTACATGGCATGATGGGATAGCAGCCAGCATACAAGTCAACAACGCGTCGCTCAAACTGTGTGGGATGTGTACGGAGATGAAATTCGGAGATTTTCTCTCTTCCCTCCCCTCCCTTCACGTACAACATGCAACAAGGACATAGATAGAGACTGAGAAAAGAATGTCCCGTTTGTTGTGACGAAAACATGTTCGTTTCCACTATAAATGGAGCGCTACAAGATCCTCGATTTTAAATACAGATTGCTTTGTTTGCTTTCAACTGGCAGTTGGCGGGAAAAAATCGACAACAGATCTCATATTTATTGATTCTTTTTAATGTTGACTGTATTTTGGTGGCGTCATTGGACATTCCCTCGTGCATTAACCGGTGTATGAATGGTATATTCTTTTAACAAGGTCACACTTTTGCCGCTGCGTGGACTTGACGGGCAAATAACTTGTAGGACTAATGCTTAATTAATATTTACTTCCAATTTTTGCTAATTTAGAACATTTTTATATCAATTCATTTGTTAAGCGCGGCGTTTTACATATAAAGAGGTGTTTAGCTCTTTTTCTTTGAATTCTTCTTGAGATATTTGGCAAATGCTCAGTCAACTCGTCAGGGGTACGTATGAATTTCAAGTTGACTTAACGCTCATTTTCACTGATGAACTATCTTTGTTCACGGTCTGATGTTAATTTTAACCCTGTAATAGCCAAGAGTGGTTACAAAAGAACTTGTCACGGATGCTGCATTTAAAAAATAAATGTAGCCTAATAGACCATTTTACAGTTGTCTGCTCAGTGACCTGGCCTTTGAATGGCAGCGAGGCTGTAAGTGACCTTGTTTTGATACAGACCACTGCTTTTGTTGTGTAAGTCAAGTTGTTCTGATGCTAACTAGTTTGCATTTTAATGAGAATGGCACAGGGGTTTGTATCAAAGTAAGGTCACCTTCAGCGTTGCTTTCATTCACAGGCCAGGTAACCGAGTACACAACTGTAAAATGGCCTATTTCTTAAGCTCGTTTGTAATTCGTTTGCATTGTCCGCAGTTTAATCTGTTCTTGTTGGTTAGTTTAGAGTGTTTTCTTTTTATATAATTTGGAGTGTCGACAGTAATTCGTACTTGCTTTGGGTTTTCATTACCGCGCTAAGCGATTGGCTTAAAACAAAACTCGTGCCACTTTGTTATCCAATCATAACTAAAACCAAAGCCAATCGTGACTCGCCCGCACACGTTTTCCCGCGTTTTGCGCCGGCTACATGTATTTGTTTTGAGTTCTGATTGTTTCACTGGATTGTCTGTATAATTTGTGATTGGCCAGAGTGAATACTCTGGTTCTCGTTTTACGACACTTTAATAGTTGAAAACTGCTCTATCTAAATAAACTATTATATGAATTTCGTTTTTGTANAGGCCAGGTAACCGAGTACACAACTGTAAAATGGCCTATTTCTTAAGCTCGTTTGTAATTCGTTTGCATTAATTTAAGCAGTTTAATCTGTTCTTGTTTGTTAGTTTAGAGTGTTTTCTTTTTATATAATTTGGAGTGTCGAAAGTAATTCGCGCTTGCTTTGGGTTTTCATTACCGCGCTAAGCGATTGGCTTAAAACAAAACTCGAGCCACTCTTTTAGCCAATCAGAACTAAAACCAAAGCCAATCGTGACTCGCCCGCACACGTTTTCCCGCGCTTTGCGCCGGCTACCTGTATTTGTTTTGAGTTCTGATTGTTTCATTGGATTGTCTGTATAATTTGTGATTGGCCAGAGTGAATACTCTGGTTCTCGTTTTACGACACTTTAATAGTTGAAAACTGCTCTATCTAAATAAACTATTATATGAATTTCGTTTTTGTAACAGGAGACAAAATCGTGACACATGCCTTACACCGAAGCAGACAAAAAAAAAATGCTGAACTAGAGGATCCCTTGGTGTTTCAACAAGTTCTCCGAACTAAAATTAAAGGAAATGTAAAGCAATCAGTAAAGGAAAATGAATAGTTTTGAGCCTGTAAGTGGCAAGGTGCTTTTTGCATGTGTTTCCTACTGACGCATGCGTTTGTCTGTTATATCAAATTAATTGTTCACCTTGCGAGGCAACAAAATAAATCTCGCAGAATAAAGGTGCGATTTTCTCTCTCGCTCCTCGTTGGACGGTAGGTCAGGAACGGAATCTATGAAGGGAAAAAAGAGAGTGATTGAAAAGTTTCATGTCGCCCTGTTGAATATTCCATAACTGACCCGGCAGCTTGAAGCTTTGCCTTTAGTTCTAGTAAGTATTGCGGTGAAAGTCGATTTCTAATGTCCGGTAGTGGAGTTTTGCCTCAAGCACGCCCCGGACCTCGTGCCGACTCTCGCGGAATTCTTTGATGAGGAAAATTATATGAAGGTTTAAGAGCTTGTTCAAAATGACAGGTTTATTTGCGGCATCCTGAACTTGCTGCCGATTTTTCCCAAGGTCTAACTATAAAATCTCCAGACTGGACGGTTTACCTTTCTTTCCAAGTCAGTTCTGAGAATTTTAATGTACCTCTTGCGACATCGCCTAGGTGATTTTTTTTTTTATTTTCCTCGCTTGTCTACTTGTTATTGTACACTTAAATTGTGAGAGAAATTGGTATTTGATCACTCTTGGCAATTAACAGGAACTTATCCCGGGAGACTAGTAACAAAGCCTACTTCTCAATATCTTTTTCTCGATTGTTTTTTTATGAAGTAGGACAGTCTCGTGAAACCAACTGAAACCCTTGAGAATTTTCAAGAGAAGATGAAGGTGAGAGAGTGAAACCCTCGTATAGGCGTTATCTAGAGGTAGTCCCTCTCGAGTTATTTTTGGATATGATGCCCAGTCCTCGCGCGGATATTTTACCACGCGCGTTGCGTGGATGATTTCGTGAAAGGTGTAGAGCCGCCTGGACTTTCCCAACCTCGATACCAGGCTCTCCTTTGCTTCCCTTGTCGTTGAGGCAAAGGAGAGAGAGCCTGGGGTCGAGGTTGGGACTTTTCACGTGAGTTAAATTTGCATCAAAGCATTGCCTGGGATTTCTGA